GGATAAGTTCTTTACAATATGACAACACCGATTAGAGGCGAGGGAGCCTATTCGTTCATTTATTACCTTGTAGTACGTGTCGCACGTGTGCGGTAAAGCTTTGTTGCCGCTATCTCCCCGGCTGTATTAACGCATTTTCTTAGCTTGTAGTCCTTAAGTGTTTATTTTATTGACTTTTTCTGTTCAAAAACTATAAAATATGGTTCGCCAGTGCCAAATTTGCAAGAAATTTGACTTAAATAATCCATTTAAGTCTTGAAACGACTTTTTACCGGTAGGCAACTCTCAATTTACCCATTGGCAGTCAGTGGCGTTGTTGTAGAAAGGCGCTTATTTAGATAATATTTTAGTAAAATGTAAAATCTGAATTTTTTCTTTTACATTACATTATTTACTTACTTACATAGTAACAAAATCATAATTATAACCCTGTTAATAATTAATAATGTTTTTATTAAAAATATATTCCGGTTTATTCTAAAATTATCTTCAGAATCTAAAATAACATACAAGAATTTTAAAATGATATTACATTATGAAACAATATTTTTTAATATACCGGGTCGTCTCAAAAGTGGCTCAACCCTATAACTTTTTTTATTTTTTCAGATAAAAAAACAAATTTGTATGTTAGTAAGTATATGACATAAATTAGGATTTATTGACGTATTCAATTGTTTTTGGTCTCTTCCTGTTTCACCGAAATGATTACATCTTTTGATTTTTAAAGGCACCCTCGGTATATTGCTACTTTATTCGATAAAAAATGACACTCTGAATAGAATGACATATCATATGTCAACTTTTGACATTGTCGCTTAAAAACATATCCTATTTTAAATTTCAATCCAGTTTTTTTCAATCCACTAAGTTTTAATCAAGGAGCCTTGGAAAAATAGTTTTGATCGTCTAATAGGTTTCGTGTCTTGTCTAGGCCGGTTAAAAGATGTACAAATCGTATTTTTAATCATACATATGTCAATTTTTCAAATGGAACAAGGGTGACTCATTAGCATATTTGGAAAAAGCATTTTTTTATGAATATATTGATACCACACACTTGGTATTTCGAGTCAAATTGTCGTTATGAACCGCGTGTTACAATTACAATTAAACCATATGCGAAAATGTCAAAAGTTGACATATGATATTTCATTCTATTCAGAGTGTCATTTTCTATCGAATAAAGTAGAAATATACCGAGGGTGCCGTTTAAAAATTAAAAGTTATAGTCATTTCCGGTGACACAGGAAGTGACCAAAAACAATTGAATGCGTCAATCAATCCTAATTTATTTCATATACTAACATACTAAATCTTGTTTTTTTATTTGAAAATATAAAAAAATTATGGGGATGAGCCACTTTTGAGACGCACCCGGTATAATAAAGACAGTACCGAGTTAAATAAATGTAGTTTTTATTTTATCCACTTCCTATCACCTTCCTTGCTTTAATGGAACAGATTTATGTTTTCTCTAATTTACATAATAAGACATCACTTAACCAGAAAAAAAATTACAACAATCATTTTTTTTTCTCTCCCTGTCGCCGATTCTATTATATCTGTGGAATAGATCCGGTTTTGATTAATATTAGGGGTTGTAAATGTTTGACTAAAATTAATAATTTATTATTAATTTCAAAAATTACGTAATTTCGATTATAAAATTTCTTCTATAACGTGTATTTTATTATGTTTATCCTTTTCGGACTCTAAGACGTTTTTTCTAAACTTTTATGTAAAAAACCTGTCCTAAATCTTAATAAAATATAAAAAAGTTACTTAATACGATATATTTTTAATTTAATTATAGCTTCATTAAAATAAAAAAATTACCCGGCTATGATACGGAGAGTTCAGGTGTACTTGAGAAACGAAAGACAGTGTTGTGTTTCTCGGCAGAGTCGTCAGGGCACGACCGTTACGACCATAGACAAATTAACAAAAGCAAGACTTTTCAAAGGATTGAGGAAGTCGAATTATTGTTTTTGCGCTGGCCAGTTGAGTCAGAAATCATCGCGCAGTCGCACTCGTCAAACCTAACCTAAATAAAACGAAAAACGTTTTTGCCTTGAACGAACTGTTGAATTCCTGATTTTGCATTTTGTTTGGTTATTACTATTATTTTATTAGCGTACAAAACGAAAACAAATAATTTAATACATTTTACATTTATGAAGAACATAATAATTACTGTGATTATACATATTATTGTGATTACATCGCTAACGTAGACAAAACGAAGGTCCTACAAATTGACTGTAAGTTATAAGAATCTCTATCTTTTTAATCTTTTTATGATTTGAATTTTCGTGCTTTATATTTTATAATAGACTCGAAATGTTAATATTTTTGCAAATTCTTGTGAAAATGTGAAGTTTATGTTTTTGTTTTATATTTGAAAAAGTTGTATATTTTTAAGATGTTTCTTGTTGTTCCTATTATTAATATTATAACATACATAATTATTTTTTTGTACCTTTTGAAGAATGCTTTTATTTCGTTTACCATAACTGTTGTTTTTTATCATCTTTTTGTTATTTTAATAAGAGGAATACGTTTTCGTTTATTTAACTTTTGTTTTTATATCTGTTATGTCCAGAAATTATTGTTTATTTTACCGATGGAAATAAATTTATTTGATTTTAAAAACGCTTTTTAATTAAACATCCTTGTCTAAAAGGCTACTACAAAATACACAATCCATAAGTAAACCGTCCTCGTCTAAAAGGCCAGTTGACGCAAGCGCGGTAATAAACTCTTATCAAACTTGTTACCGTTTTACAGTACAGCGTTGACGCGTCTTGCTTTTGTTAGTTTGTCTATGGTTACGACAAAGACAACCTATCTATCGCTCGTGTCGCACTCGTTATAACCTAAAACAATAACACAACAATAACAAGACAGTGTCTGACCGCATGTTCCAGCTATTTATGAATGAGATGCTCAGTCTATATTTTATTTTAAGTCTATGGGTGAGCCACTTTTGAGACGCACACGGTTAGGGGTGGATGGAGAAGTGGAAACCGGCCCGGGAATAACAGGCAACCGGCCCGAATCCACAAAAACAAAATGACCATAACGAAGAAACATATTTTATTTATTAATATACAGGGTGTCCCAGAAATAAGTGCAAGTATTTTAACTGGTAGTATATTTCGGCCTCAGAAACACGCCTATCAGTTTTTTTGCGAAAATTTGGAATTTTTTGAAGAAATTTTTGGAATTTTTTTAGTTTTAAGTTAAGAAAACATAATTTCTTGATAATCTGACAACTGACAATAAGTAGTAGATTAAATTTACATGAAAGAAAATACAGAAAAGATCCAGTGGTTCTCAAAATTTAAGCAAAAAAGCATTTTTTGTTTAAATTTTCATAGTAAAATTTTGGTTAAAAAGGTTATTTTGGGCTTACTTGAAAAACGGTAAAGAGAAAAAATGTTTATTTTGACCAAATCTACCCCCCTTAAAATACTTGCACTTATTTCTGGGACACCCTAGATAAGGGTCAAATCAGCCCAAGTAAGGGTGATTTTCGCTCGGGCGAAAAAAACTCTTTTGCCTCCGATTTTTTAAAAATATTGAAATTGTCTTGATCCAAGTTTTTATAAAGATCAATATCGGGTCGGACATCTGAATTCTTACTAGAAAATAGCTCAGTTTCAGAGGGTTCTACTGTTTTATTTCCATTATCGATAACATTTGATCTTGAATATGCTACGATTTTGAATCACGGTTTTGACTTCCTGATTCATTCAGTTCATCAGCTGGCCCAATCCTCTATGAAATACATTATTTTTAGATTTTCAGGTATATACTTTCTTACAGATTGTAGAAAGAAAGTCTCTCTTTTCTGGTACAGCAGCAGCTTCGTCATGTATACGTGTCTTAATTTTGGTATAATTCTCATCACGTAACTTTTCCTAGTTTCTACATTTGGCATCTTGTATGATAATGCCTTGACTCAAACGAAAAAAACCTAGGCAATACCTAAGCAGTGGATATAAATGTGTTTTAATAAAAGAATATTGGTAAAACTATACAGAATGAGTCTTAAATAAGCGCAAATATTTTCAGGGGTGGTATATTATGTCACCACCAGGTGCCAGGACACGTCTATGAGTTTTTATTTTGTAAAAAAAAGATGTTGAAAATCGTGCTTTTTCTTTTAAATTTTCCTGTATATTTTAGAAAATTTTTTAGAACTTCCTGTTCACTGCAAATTTTGCCACGGTATAGTTTCTTAATCTTTGATATTACGGCACAAAAAGTGATGCAAATACAGAAAGATTTAGGCGGCAAATTTTTTTAAAAAAATCAGTTTTTTTTAAATTCAAACTTTAATAACTCGGTTATTTTGGACTTATTTGAAACACGGCAAAGAGAATATAGTATGCTTTTTTAATTCATATCTACCAGCCCTGAAAATATTTGCACAAAGCAAACAAAAAAAACATTTCAAATGGAACAACAAACAAAATTATTAGATGTTTATTAAAATTATAAGTGTCTCAGAAAAAACATCTAACAATACCTAGTTATTTTAAAAATTGATGTTTATGTTTAAAAGCAACTAACCATTATATTGATGCAAACTGATTAGTTAGTTAGGCAGTCACTAGAATCTTACGTAATTTTGGTTAGAAGATTAACCATTTCATTTTTGCTAAATCAATCTTTTTTTGAGTTCTGATCGGGACCGGCCCACCGCACCGGCCTATATTTCCACCGGCCCACCGGGAATTTTCCCGTTTTCCCATGTGGCCCATCCACCCCTGCACACGGTATAGGAAAGTAAATTTCAGAAATTAAAAAAATCTCATATTCTTTTGAGAATATTTTATTCATTAATAGATTATAACTATAAATCACAAAATAAACTTATAATTTTACAACAAAATAAATTCAAAATTTAAATATTCCTGTATATAGTACTATATCATCTACCAGACAACATATTATATTAAAAAAACACAATTTTTTTGTCCAGATTCTCTGAAATAGGTATTTCTTTTTGCGCTGGCCGTTCACTGAGACTAGTCGGTTTAAACAACACGTCCACATGTACAATTCTACTACATTTTCCATGAATAATGTTAGTAATTTAACATCTTCTTACTATACAAATAAAAAGACCGATATAATGTCTGGAGATATACATAGTGGCGTGCAGGATGTGATATTATCCGAGCAAAATGAACTGGAAAATCAGCATGATTTGACCAAAAGTGATAATATCGAAGAGTTACTGAAAACTGGGAAATACAGTACTATAAGTACTATTGGAAATGGAAATTCTGCCAGTGAACTGTCGGTAAGTAAATGTGTAATCCATAATAAAATACCTCTACGTTAATTTCAAATAAAAAAACTGATTTAAAATATTCACTGCATATATTTTTTTCAAACGTCACAAAAGTATTAATTTTTGCGACTTGATTAACAATATAAAAAAGGAATTTTAACGCCTAGGCATGAAAGTAGAGCACTTTTACGCCTAAGCCTTTGGCCTAAGCACAAAAGTACGAAAATATATTATTAAACTGACATAAAGTGTCAAATTCAACGAGCGTAACCAAAGTTTCACGATATACAGGGTGGTCCGAACTGTATTCCGGAAACTTCGGCAGCATATTCTGCAGATAAAAATAAGTAAAAAAGTTCGTATAAATGTATGTCCTAAAATGCTTAGTTTCGGAGATACAGGGTGTAGAAGTTTCATTTTTAATTCGATTTTTTCCAAATAATTTCTGAAGTAACGTCAATATTTGGATGAACATTGGTGTCTGGGAGTTTTTTGACATAAGAAATTTGATTTTGATGTCAATATGACTCCTACCTTTGAATAAGAAGACTAAGGAAGGAGCATATCAAAAATTTTAGGTACACCGCGATGGGCCTCAAATATGGCCGACTTAAATTCCGGTTTATCAGTGTCGTTCTAATTTTATTTAAAAAATGTAAAACTATGATGCAGGGTAGACGTGGGGTAGACTCAATAATTTGTTGTTTTATTTTACGTTGTGAATAAATGTTGGTAGTTATTAAAATTGTTATAAAAATATATAATTCTAATAAAAATAGATAAGTTATAATAAGTATTTATTAACACAAACATCCGATACGCTACTGAAGCAGGTAAGTCAAATTAACCTATCTAAATTCTTTGACATCTAATCTTTGACAAGTAATAAATAAAAACTAAAATGCAAGAAAAATATATAATTTAGTTAATTCAAGTGAATTTCATAAATTATCGGTTTACTACACGTATGTATATTATATAGTCACTTATATACAGCCGAGAGCTATTCTTAGTGGGACACCCTGTACGTTTGACGGACGAGCGTTAGCAAGTCCGACATACAGGCGACGCACAAAAAGTCATTTTTACTCCGAATAGAACATGCTATTTTTTTTCAAATGCCACAATTTCAAGCGTTCCAAATAATATAAAAATTTTTGAAAATAATATCTTGGATGTAATATGTAGTTATATATCGAGAAACTATGGTTACGCTCGTTGAATTTGACACTTTATGTCAGTTTAATCATATATTTTCGTACTTGCCTAGGCGTTAAAATGACCTTTTTATATTGTCAATCATGTCGCAAAAATTAATAGTTTTGTGACGTTTGGAAAAAAACTATATTAAAAGAAACTCTAATATACAGTGTGTCCCAGTCTTTGGTCCCAATATTCCGAGGACATAGAACTACTAGGTATTTAAAAAAATAAACAGTTAAAGAAGCACAACATTTATAATCATCTTTTTCTTATCATAAACTAAATCAGTTTTGTGTTTTTTGTTTCATTTTGCCAAAATAGAATATTTATAGATTTTAATGTTTGTAGTTATGCTGTGATATTTGCAATATCCGGGTAACCAGTGCCAAAATTCTCCAAAGACACTTGGAAGGAAGAAGACACAAATCCAGAGCCGAAAGGGATGGTAAAACGTTCCATTGTGAGCTTTGCGACGTGACAGCCAACAGTGAAATTCAACTTAACATACATATGTCAAGTGAGTATAGAAAAATACAAGTAGATATACAATTTTATAATATACCGGGTGCTTCTCAAAAGTGAAAAAATAGATTTGATCATCTAATGTTTTTCGTGTCTTGACCTAGCCGGTTAAAAAATGCCCAAATCGTTTTTTAATCATATTATCTCAATTTTTTCAAATGAAACAAGGGTGGCTCATTACTCATTAGCATATTTGGAAGAAGCATTTTTTACGAATAATTTGGTATAACACACTTGTTATTTCAAGTCAAATTGTCGTTATGAACGGCATGTTACAATGTCAAATAAATCATATACAAAAACGTCAAAAGTTGACATATGATATGTCATAACCAACATGAGATACAGGCCAGACACATCGATTTGTGACGTCACCGCAATAGTCGGGCTTTTGAATTGTGCCATATGGTACTGCATACAGTTTTTGCATAAATAATAGTATTTATTGATAGTTTTGCCAGATATAAATATGAAAAATATTATACACAAAGGTATTAAAAAATAACATTAACTTTTATCGCGTTAAAGTAATTGAATAGCATTAAAATTTAGATCTAAAACACGAATATTAATATGAAATAAACAACAGCATAAGATGAACAGAATAAAATCCAGATAATAAAAAGCATGTCCTAAAATTGCGTTAGCGAGTATTTAGCAGCTAGTAATAATATACCTAGTGATAAAGTTTCCAAATATTAAAAAATTTGAAAACTATACTTTATCGACAAGTTAAGAAAATGTATTGTATATGATAAGGGCAGAATACATTTTAAAGTTTAATTAAAAATAATTGTAAAAATTTGCCTAACATATTTAAAAAATGTGGATATCAGGTAGAATTAACTATTATCATTAAGTAATTTGTAGTTCGATGTTCAAGTAACCATTTCGGTAAATTTTAAATAAAAAGATAAAGATATTTTTTTTATATAAAATACTGAAATAAAGTACAATTCATTTAATTTCTTTAAAATATATTGCCATTTCATAATAATAATAATTATTTTTAACATTTATTTCATCCTGAATTTCCAAATCTTGTTTTCTTTCATCGGGATGTTTTCTCTTTATGGGAACATGCACAGTCATATAAGAGGGTTAATTTGGAAAAATTGTAGGCACAAGATCTTCTGTAGGTTTTGGACGTGACTTAGTTACAGTTAATATTGCTGGGAAAGAGAATGTAGACAGATCCTGAGTACTTATTATAATTGCTGCTACAAGGCACAGACACAGAACAATGTCGCGGCATTTTTTATTTCACAAAGTAAAAATAAAGAAACGACAATTGTTTTACCTAAAAATGCACGTCACTTACGTTGGTTTAACACTATGCACTAACACTAACACTATTAATTATGTTTTTATATAAATTTCCCAACTTTTTCCTAGTCCGGACACACAGCCGGCATCGCCGGTGTTACTATAATTTTTACCGAAAGTATGGTTTTTTTCGCGGGTACGATGTTATGAATCGGATCTAGATAGTTCACTATTCACTCAAAATTATTTAGTATAATTATATTAGCATAGAAACGCGTAAGAAACACAGATTTGTTGCGAAACTAATGAAAACAATTGGTTTGTTCAGGACTACTAATTCTCGACCACTTCGGTAGAACTGTCAAAACAGTCAGGCCTTGAATATGACGTTAGCTACGGATATGTCATTCTAATGGTACAAAGAAAACAAGGTATGATCGATAGCGGCTCCAATTTCGTTAAGTTTGCGCATACCACCTGTGACGTCATACGCCATACAGAAAAATATCCATATTGTTCAATTGCCACTAATAAAAAAAAGACATAAAATAGGGAAGAATCAGGACATAACCCCAAAAATTATGTCAAATCATCGAGCATGACATTTGAAAAATTATTTTCGCGTTTATTGTGTCATCTGTTTGACAATTTGAAATTGGCGCGCGGAGCTTGCCGACCAATGGTGCCGTTTATCCTGCGTTTATCACCTGTGACGTAGTAACCAACCTGCGCAATATCATACCTTGTATTCTTTGTATCATGTGTCATTCTATTCAGAAAGTCATATTCTATCGAAATAAAGTAAAAAAATACCGAGGGTGTCATTGAAAAATCAAAAGTTATAGCCATTTCCGATGAAACAGGATGCTGCTAATGTTATATTTTAATAAAATTAGCATTTTTTTAACAGGTTCAAGACACAAATCCCGTATAGCCAGAGAAGAATACAAGGAATTTACCAGTCTATCTTCATACTCTACCAGTTTCTATATATTGTTGTTTTGTATCTTCTGTATCGGCTTGAATGTAGTCATTTTAGTGAAAGGTGCATTTTAGACACCCTGTAGTTTAAAAAAACTCTTAATTTATAAATTATTGTTCTTCTTAGTTCAAATACCATGGTAGTTGAACAATTTTGTTTTTAGTTAGTAAATAGTTTTATATGTTATGTCTTATTTAAGGTAAATCTGTTTTTTTTGTATAAGACAATAATTGTTTTTTTGTAATTTTGTTAGTTAAGTTTAGAAAAATTTTGGTGACAAATGGTGACAAAGACTCGAACCTACGAGCTTCATCCGGTAATGCCTACTATAATATTTATTGAAATATTTGTTTTTCAGATTATGCCAAAATATTTTAAAATCGCAAAATATTTTAGCTATATAATTTTGTTAGTGTAAAAAAAAACACTGAAATGTAGATGTTTAGGATAAGGTTAAACCTTCATACTATTTTGGTCTGTTTTTAATGTAAGTCTTTCTGTAATTTTATTATTTTCTTTGTTATTTGTCAAAATTATAAGAAGTTTATTATTTATAATTATCGCTAAATAAACTACTATTTATTCACTTACAATTGTTTTATCTGTACGTAAATATACAGAGTAATAAATGTCTAATACTTGTCTAACGTATACAGGCAATATAAAAACAAGAACCCCAAAGATAAGAACCCCAATAGGCGCTAAATCCGGCGGCCTGGACAGCCAGCGGCTGGCGCCTTGGTTAGTTATCCAATTATTCTCGAAATTGGCTGAAAAAATTGCTGATAATTTCAGCGTTCTGAGGCGGTGCTACGTCTTGCTGGAAAAATATCTTTTGGAGTTCCATTAGGAGCAGATCATCAATAAGAGATCCAGAACCTACTATGTAAACTGGCAAACTTTTGAAAATTCTGTATTTCGACGGGGATTCAAAGAAAATATCAAGTGTGCTATATTTTTGGAGAGGTAATTTTAAATTATTTTCAGTGAATTAAAAATATACAGGGCGTTCAATATAAAAAATCAAATTTTTTGTTGCTAATTCTTAAATTATTAATTTTAAAAAAATTATACTTAAACCTTTAAATTCTACGCAAAAAGGTGCTTTGGAAATGTTTTCATAAAAATACAAAATCGTCCATAGCAAAAAAGTTACAACGATTTGTTAAAAATGCATATTTTTGAAAAACCGAAACGGTAACAGATATTGATGTGCGGTTTTCACCAGGCTATATGGCCCACCCAGGGTGGGCCATATTACACTTTTCTATAGGAGATAGACGAAAACTAATATCGGTGTCTGGAGCTAAATTTTCATCAAAAACATGATGGTGAAAACCGCACATCAATATCTGTTACCGTTTCGGAGTTACGGAGTGTTTTTCAAAAATGTGCATTTTTAACAAATCGCTGTAACTTTTTTGCTATGGAAAATTTTGTATTTCTATGAAAACATTTCCAAAGCACCTTTTTACGTAGAATTTAATGGTTTAAGTATAATTTTTCTTAAATTAATAATTTAAGAGTTGTCAACAGAAAAAATTATTTTTTATTTGGGACACCCTATATATTTTTAATTAACTGAAGGGAATTTAAAATTACCTTTCCAAAAATATAGCACACTTGATATTTTGTTATAATCCCCTTCGAAATACAGAATTTTTAAAAGCTCGTCACTTTTAACTAGTAGGCTTTGGACCCCTTACTGATGATGTCCCTTTAATGGAACTCGAAAACATATTTTTCCAGCAAGACGACGCACCGCCTCTGAAGGCTGAAGTTATCAGCAAATTTTTGCAGCCAATTTTAAGAATAATTGAATAGCTAACCAAGATCTCAGTTGGCCTGACTTAGTACCCATGGATCTAATCCTATGGATATATTTGCGGAAGAATAAAGGTTCCTTATTCTTCTGTATAATCTAGACAAGAATTAAAAATACTTAGCAGTTATGAGGGGGTATCTTTCACCCCCACTGAGTTAATGAATACTGCGAGAAATGTTCAAAAACTGCCCCGTCTGTCCATAACAGAAGACGGTTGATATGTCGAACACCTGTAGCAAAATCTCATGTCTTGGTTTCCTACTTATTTTTATTGTTATTAGATATAGTTTAAATGTGTTGATGTTGGTTAAATATAATTTAAATTGTTATAAAATTCTGCATCGCTCATAGCAAATATTATTTTCGTTTTAATTGATGCTCACAGCTAGAATTTTTTTGCATTACAGCCGGTGCCGTTCAAAGCCTACTTATTTAAAGCCGGGGAATTTTTATATACTCTCTATATCTCGAAGAGCGATCGAGCAAAATATCAAGTGTGTTATATTTTTGGAAAGGTAATTTTAAATTCTTTTCAATAAAGTAAAAATATACAGGGTGTCCCATATAAAAAATCAAATTTTCTGTTGATAATTCTTGAATTAATTATTAATTTTAAAAAAATTATACTTAAACCATTAAATTCTACGTAAAAAGGTGCTTTGAAAATGTTTTCATAAAAATACAAAATTTTCCATAGCAAAAAAGTTACAGCGATTTGTTAAAAATGTACATTTTTGAAAAACACCCCGTAACTCCGAAACGGTAACAAATATTGATATGCGGTTTTCACCATCATGTTTTTGATGAAAATTGAGCTCCAGACACCGATATTAGTTTTCGTCTATCTCCTATAGAAAAGTGTGTTTCCATTTAAAAGCGTCGAATTTGACCCACCCTGTACATCTGAAAATATAAAAAATCAAGGAAAAAGAAACAAACATCTTAATTTAACATCAACATAGTCTTTAATAACTGTCATAAAATAAATTAATATCTTTCAACATTATATTACAGAGGAAGAAAAAGACAAATATACCTAAAACTAGTTTTATACAAATTAAAAAATATATTTATAGATATTTTTGTTCTTTCAATTTGGCAGTTGATACTGTTCATTTATCTCGTTTGGTAAATTTAGACAACTTGTATTTATATACAAAATGGTATGATTGTGGCAAAAAAATATAAATAAAATATTTTTTGGGTGGGTTAAAGCATAAATATAAAATGAGATACCAGTGATCTATTTATTACTGGAAGAGTATATTTAAAAGTTTGATATTTATATTGAAGATAAACCAAAAAAAATGATGTTATATAGTGCAAAACTGTAATAATAAAAAAAAAGTTTTGCCATTAATAAATAATACAACTGCTGGTACATGTACAGGGTGGTCGAAATTGGTCTGTTTTAGCAGAGAAACCCTATTTTCTGACTAGCTAGAGCAAAACCGACATAGATGTCATGTGCTCGATTTCTGAGACACGTTTAATGGCGTAAACCGCCTGTTGATATTTTCACTGTCAACTGAGATAACGAGGTCTTTTTGAATTGTTTACCATTTGGAAAATTGCCCGTAACTTTTTTATTTCGCGGAATAATAAAATTCTGTAAAAATCTTCGTAAGACACTATTTTATAGTATAGTTTTTTTTTCTACGCTTGCTCTTGTTGTCAGAAATAATAAAAAATATATTTTTTTAAATGGAAATCATAGTTGGCTATAGATTTAAAAAAATGCTGGCGTTTAACCCTTTCCAACGATATAAAGTTATGGGCATTTATTTCTAAGAATGAGAGAAATATTAGGTTTTTTAACTTTGTATCGAAGCGGGCCTTGATATTGTGCTGACCTAGATCCCTAATTATTTTTTATCACAATTTAATATTCTATATTATTATTTATCTGCATAATTAAAGACTTTTGAAAAGGTAAATTAACATTCTATATTAATATTAGTAATTACAATAAACAAAGAATAAGACTAAAAAACGTATTTTTTGTGTGGCGAATATAGTTTTATAAAAAAATCATCAAAAATGTTCAAACTGAGCACCTCCTTGTTGAATACACAATAAACATCTTTTGCGCACAGAGTTATAACGATTTATTAGGCAAACTAGTGTAATAAGTCCAAAAGCTTGCCTAGTAATCTTCTGCAATTCTTTTCTCGTCCCAATGGTTCTTCCATTATAGATAAGGTCTTTTAATTTTCCCCATAAAAAAGTTGAAAGGAGTTGAATTACAGGACCTAGCAGGCCTAGATATGGGGGCCAAGATATGGGGCCCTTTGTTCCAATCCAATTCTCTCTAAATTCCAATTCTCCATTTAATAGTGCAGTTGTAACCCTGGCGTTTTAATTCTAAATGGTAATACTAATATAGAATGTTGATTTATCCCTTCAAAAGTCTTTAATTATACAGATAAATAATAATATAGAATATTAAATTGTGATACAAAATAATTAAGCAACTATAGGTCAACACAAAGTCTGTAAATACACATAACTTTAAATCGTTGGAAAGGATTAAACGCCAGCATTTTTTTAAGTTCATAGCCAACTATGATTTGCATTTAAAAAAATATATTTTTTAGTATTTCTGACAAAAAAGCAAGTATAGGAAAAAACTGACTACGCCACTGGATTGTGCTTGACTTACTGGAAGTGCCGTTGAACGTTTTTCCAGAATTTTATTATTCCGCGAAATACAAAATTTATGGGCAATTTTCCAAATGGTAAAAAATTAAAAAAGACCCCCTATCTCAGTCAGCAGTGAAAATATCAACAGGCGGTTTACGCCATTAGACGTGTCTCAGAAATCGAGCCTATGACATCTATGTCGGGTTTGCTCTATCTAGTCAGGAAATAGGTTTTCTCTGTTAAAACAGAACAATTTCGACCACTCTGTACAATATTCTGAAGTCAAGTTACAATCAATTAAAAAAATATAGGTAACTCTTAGTAACTCTGAGATTGGTTTGATCAGTATTATACAATATTTAGATATGTATTACAATCCACCCCCACTCCTTTCAACACTGATTTTCTTCTTCAACATCTCTTTCTCGTGTTGCTGTTCCTCTAGTTCAGCCATTCTGGCGAATCTGGAATAAGTGACATGTCCGGACTTGATAGCTGACATCATCTAGAAACCGAAAAAAAATATAATTTTTGTTTTGATTATAATTTTCTGTTTAATTTTTGTTAATACAATAATTTGCATTTCAAAAGCTGGTAAATGCTGAAATGTATGTCTACTTTAAAACCAAAAACAGTAAAATACTGGATAAAAATCATTAGGTTTGATAAAAAAAAATCGTTAAAAATTTTGAAATACAAAAATAAAAAAATGTACAATTTTTAACTTTCCATTCTAACAAAGAAATAATAATTTAGATTCTTATTTCAGATTATAAAGAAATAATGAACTATGGGGGTTCTATTTAAAAAAAAATAGAGAAAAAAAATAGCCTTGTATTTTTAATATCTTTTTTTAAAAGGCTGATTTTTTTTATTTATTTATTAATATTTCTGAACTCTCAAAACATATTTAAAATATCTTAAGGTTATGTAAAGTGAACAGAAAGGAAGGCAAAATTGCAATAATATACAGGGTGTTCCAATTAAAAAAAAGCATCACGATCCACTCACTTTTTTGAGCCAGTCTGTGGAAGTTAAAATATCGTCGGTTTACAAGCAAAACACACCAAGTCAAAAAACGAATAAATTTTAAAAATTTTAAAGATTAAAAATGCGATGAGCGTAATAAATCACAGCCGGATCCTGTACTATTAGTTCGTTTGTATCATAGATCATATACGTACATTTGTAGATAACTCAACAATATAACTATAGTCTGTGAAACGAATAACTTTGAATTTGACAATTCCCGCGGGCTTTTCTAGTGTAAATTCTATTAGGTTAGCAACTTGCGGACATGCTGACACAATGTCGTCTCTAATAGAACAGCCTCGGAGCGAGATTTATGACGCTAGTTAGATACTATGGATTAATAAATATGTTATAGAAAACATGGAAATCACAATTCTTCCTCGTATTTTTAGTTTGTATTTTAAAAATGATATAGTCTACATGAAATATACATAATATGCAGTTAATAAATACAATATATATACCTATTTATAGTAAGAGTAATAGTAGTAATAAATACTTTGGCAAATTAACTATGAACCATACAAATGCAGCAAATGTTTTACAATATACAAATCATGAATAGGTACATAAGATAATGGGTAAAATGTAAAATATATTTTAAATTTTGGGGTTTGAAAATCGATCAAATTTAACAAAAAATATTCAATATCTACTAATAGTGATGTATTATTATTTGCATTCACAAAATTTATATGTATATTTTGCAAGTATCAATGTTCGAAAAATTATATTTGCAGATAATACAATATCACAGAAAAAAGGCGTCAGCGATGGCTATGAAATAAAGATCGCTGTAATTTTATATGTAAATTATTACATATAAGTATTATTATTATTATCTTTAAAGTACAAACCAAAAATACGAGGAATAATTATGTTTTCCATGTATTCTACAGCATATTTATTAATCCGTAGTATCCAACTAGCGTGACGTCATAAATCTGGCTCCGAGGCTGTTCTATTAGAGACGACATTGGTCTGATATTTAGAAATGTCAAAAGCTGATGACATTTTACTTTTGACAATTATTTCGTGTTGATTTTTGCAAGAAGAGGAAGAACTGTCACTTGTTTTATAATTTTCCTTTTCTATTTCACGAAAGTAAAAAGAGTTACCTATCTGATTCGTTCAGGCACTCAATTAAAAGAATATCAGTAACTTTTTTGATAGAGGGATTTTATATTTGCCATGTTGGTAAAAAATAACGGTCAAAATTCAAAGTTATTCATTTTATAGACTATAGTAAAAATCAATACAAAAGAAAACTCTATACCAATAAACAGCATTTTCAAACAAAAATTAGTGTGTATTATAATGTTTAGTGTATTAATAAACAGTGTCAACTCTAAACAGCCCAAAAAACAAGATTAAGTATATAAATATTATGCAAACAGAAAGGAAACCCAGGCACGGTGGATGAAAAAAAACAAGCTTTAAAAAACAAAGAACTTAGCAAAAGTTTGCGGGTTGCATACAGGGTGTCTCATATAGGAACTCACACTACAGGGGTTATCTCGTAAACCAGAAGAGATAGAAAGATGATAAAATTTGAAAAAAAATGCGTTTTTTTCTGAACACTACGACGTCGTGTTTCTATATCTAAAAAAATCCGATTACTTTCGAAGATATTTTTTCAGAAAAAAAACGAATTTTTCCGATTTAGTTTTCTTTATTTGAAAAGACTTTATTTGAAAAGATATGACAATAAAAATTTCACATTCATTGTTACTTTTTCTGCTCTACAACATGGCGTTATTAGATTTTTAATTGGACGTTCCGTTTCCGAGATAATCATCAACTTTATTTTTTTAAATACTGACCTGGATTTTTTACTTCATTTTTTTTAAACTTATGACTTCTCAATGTATCACAAAAAAATATTACTTGTTTGTTCTACACACATAGTCGAAATGATCCGTATACACATCTCTGTCCAATACATTGCTTCTTGCGGGAATATTTTTATTATATATTACACAAGTTTACAAATTCGGGTCAACTTTTGGACCCGAGCAGATGAGAACGATTCTTAACGTTATTTGATGCCCTGAACTCAGATCTTCAATCCGTTTGTCAAGATTGGCTCTAGTTTTCGAGTTCGCGCATGGCTGTAGCACTGACAACAAAATGTGTCCTCTGTATCACTTGTAAACCCACAGGACGTTTTACTGCCACCTCTTCACATTAAACTTGGCCTTTTTAAGAACTTTGTCAAAGCGCTCAATCGCGAAGGACCGGCTTTCCAGTACTTAACCAAGTTGTTTTCAAAACTGTCATACGCAAAAATCAAAGAAGAAATATTTGTCGGACCTGATATTCGAAAACTAATGGCTGACGCAACGTTTACAAAATGTTTAACGCTTGATGAGGCAGCAGCATGGGCATGGTTTCAAAATATTCTTCACAACTTTCTCGGTAATCATAAATCACCGGATTACAAGCAAGTAATCGACAATTTGTTGCAAAATTACCACAAGATTGGAGCTCGAATGTCTCTCAAGATACATTTTCTGCATTCACATCTTGAATTTTTCCACAAAATTGGAAAAGTATAAAAAAAGACTCAGTTCAATCTCTGTTCATTTCTGATTTATATTGTTTAATTCAATAAACGGTCAAAAATAGTAAAATATTGAATTTATTGAATATTTCGAAAACTAGAACCAATCTTTAAAATACACATACACATGTTGGGTTCAGCAAGGCACAACTTTTCTGTAATTTAACCATCCCTGTACCTCTTCTGGTTTCCAATATGTTTGTCGTGTGAGTTCTTAGGTTTGTTCCAACACAGAAATGTGTTCCGTTCTAGTACAGTAATTGGAATCGCTGGCATCGGACTTGGTACGCATGTGTCGACTTGGACAGTTCTGTTCCTATACCAAAATTAAATGCGGGTTGGAACGCTTTTTGAACTGATTTTAGAACCAAATTCAAAACCTAATTTTTTATTATTAATATAAGTTAGATACATTTTCGATATAAGTTTTAAAAGTTTATATATAGTTCAATATAGTTTTTTTTTTAATTTTGTATTTTAATGAATTTATTTATTTTTTAATTACGAAATCATCTTTGCTTTATTTAACAAACGTTTCAAATCATCTGCAGTGATATCCACATATTTATTATCACTGTCTTCTGCGTCACTCACGATGTTTGGTACAAAAATATAAAAATATTTATTTAAATATGTATAAAAACGATAAATACCAAATAAAACTTGAAGAATCAGCAAATTACAAAAAGAAAATAACCAAAAGAAGTAAAAGAAAAACAATAATCAGCTGACACAAAATCTTAATATGCAGGTCAGTCCTAACACCAACAAGGTTACAACCTAACCTAACCTTCCTTTTCCATTCCATATCCATGTACAATTTATATCATTTCAAGTTTTATTTTAAAAATTTGTATCTTTTAAAAAAGGTAATAGGTTTAATTATGAGGTGAAAGAATGAATAAATATCAGCAAAATTTTAACAGAGCTGGTACAAATGTAAGAACTTGACAACGCTGTTTCCGATACGCTTCAGTCCGTCCACCAAAAAATGTACGGAAGGAAAGAATATGGAACGGAAGGGAAACGGAACGTATAGTGTGCATTGTCCTATTCATTTACATGATATAATATTTTGTGTAAACGGAAGGGAAACGGAATGGAGCTGATACGGAAGCTATAGTAAGAAACAACTTTTAGACTCCTCGAATCGAAATCAGGTTTCCGAATCCGGTTCACAAACGATTACAATTATTCTGTTAGAACGCAAAAGTCTTTTTTCTACTGCGCATAAGCGTAACCCTACCAAGAACGGTTCTCTGCTATGTTGGAACAAACCTCTTTTATGGATTAGAGTGTAAAAAATTGGTACTGAGGGGGTAAAACTGGTCCAAACCTGTAAATATTCGTCAAGTTCGACTTGTCCGTTCATGTTCGTATCGATTTCGCGGAGAATATCGTGCAATTGGTCTCCGGGTACTTCCTTCTCACCGTGTTGCTGTAAAGGGACAAAAAACTATTAGTTCGGTTCATATAAAACTTACTTGTAAATAATCAGCCATTTCAAGTTGTCCATTGAAAGTGACGTTTATGTCTGATAACAAATTGTGGATCTCCTCGTCAGTAATTTTCAAACCTAGAGACTGACAGAGTAAAAAATAAATTATAGCAAAATAAAAATATTAACAAAGTTTAAAAAAATAGTGGCTAGGAAATATATATCTACGGTAAGCGCAAAACAATTTTCGATGCGCGTGATCAACTTTGAGTGACAAGCGATGGCGACAGCGCTGCCAGATTGTCATGGATTTATGGAATGAATCTTAATGTAAAATTGGGAAACAATATATTTACTATATTATTTTTTAAAGATTTTTACGTTTTATTTTTTATTTAATATTAAATATTTTAGTAATTAATAGATTTATTTGTTTTATAACTAGTTTTTGCCAATATGTAATAAGTAAAATATTAAAAAATGTCTATACCTATGTGGCGGATTCATCTATCCAAAAAAATCCTTTATGGGTATTTCGCCACTGCACTGCAAGAAAAATCTACAACATAAAATAGTTATTTTTTGTAAACACTTCTGGCGTTAAACCTAAACGGACGCTGCTTGTCAGAAGTTGTGTTTACCGTTTAGAAAAATTTGCCTAACAAAGAAAAAAATGCTTAACGTTTCGGAAAGTTTTCTCTTTCCGTCGTCGCAAGCAAAAAAAATATAAAGAATCAAGAAAAAAACAATTTAAAATATTTAAATTGAACTATTCGAGAACACTTTACTTTTTAAAACAGATACGTCTACAAGAAATCGTTGACGTTCTGTTAAAAAAATAGTGACAAGTAAAATAGTGAATATAATGTCATTTTAACAGAACGTCAACGATTTCTTGTAGACGTATATGTTTTAAAAAGTAAAGTGTTCTCGAATAGTTCAATTTAAATATTTTAAATTGTTTTTTTCTTGATTCTTTATATTTTTTTTTGCTTCCGACGACGGAAAGAGAAAACTTTCCGACACGTTAAGCATTTTTTTCTTTGTTAGGCAAATTTTTATTACTGTAAACACAACTTCTGACAAGCAGCGTCCGTTTAAGTTTAACGCAGAAGTGTTTACAAAAAATAACTATTTTATTTTGTAAATTTTTCTTGCAGTGCAGTGGCGAAATACCCATAAAGGATTTTTTTGGATAGAAGTAAAATATTATTACATATTGGCAAAAACGAGTTCATTATGAAGATTATTCTAAGCGTTATTTATTATGGGTTATTTATTTATTTATTGTTGTACAACTTACAACACCACAAGTGGTAATAACAAATAAGTGGGTGCCGGTAATGTACAAACTATTAATCACAGAATTTACTAAAAACTAACGTAAAAATAACTTTGAAAGTGGTATAATGTGCTTACCAATCAAACTTACTTCTCTGACTGCAGTCAAGGGTAATAAAGCACCTTTTTATTGTCACGTTCTCGTTCAAAATAGTTTATCAGGGAAGCTACACGCTCTTTACTTCAACTGTTTAAACGCTTCGGCGTATTTTCAACACACAATTTCAAGAAATGCAATACAAAAACTCGAAAATTTAGTTCTTAAAAGAACTGTTTGTGCTTAAAAGTACAAATTTTAAAAAATTACTATTTTTTTATTAGGCAAAAGAAACGAGAATTACTCACAAAGATTCAACAATAACACGATATTATACGAAATGACTGACATTATGATAATTGTCAAATAATAAACGACAACGTTGCTGAACACGGCTCAATGTGACCAACATAGCCATAATAAATTTCGGTTTACACTAATTTTTGCAGCTTTAATCTAAATAAATATAGCGAATACTTATAAAAAGCGAATACTTTTTATGAGCTACCACCTCGACGACTCTATACTTGGACATCACCAAGAAGTAGCAAAGAGAAGATCATAAGGAATCAAATTGATTTCATTTGTGTCAACAGACGGTTTAGGAATAGCATTGAGAGTGCTAAAACCTACCCAGGTGCAGATGCGGACACTGACCACGAATTGCTTGTAGCCAACGTAAAAGTGAGACTAAGGAAGCTGCAAAGGATAATAAAACCGAAGATAATAAACACAGAAAAGCTCAAACAACAGCAGTATCAGAAGGAGTTTAACGACTCAATAGCAAGTGAGTTTTTGGAAGCATCAGCGACAAATATCGACATGGCCTGGGACCAAATCAAATCTACAATGTTGACTGCCGCGGACCAAGTTGTAGGCAGAAGAGAACATAATACGAAAAACCCCTGGATGACACAGGAAATCATAAACCTTATAGAGGAAAAGCGTAAATACAAAAACACTGACCCGCAAAAATATAAACAATCAAAAAGACAAATAGAACACCGCATAAGAAAAGCCAAAGAGACATGGATGGAGGAGAATTGCCGTGAAATGGAACAACTGAACAATAAACATGATTATTTTAATCTACATAAAAAGTTAAAGGAATTAACTGGAAATAAAAAAAAAGAATACCGATGATCACAAGAAACGCACAGGGAGATATACAGTTAACAGAAGAAGGCAAAAGACAAACTTGGAAGGAATACATTGAACATCTATTTGCAGCAAGACGAGATGACGTCAGAGATGAGAGCAACCAGGCGGAACAGCTATGTATTTTAAAATCAGAAGTGGAGTATGCTATAAAAACATCAAAGAGCAGAAAAGCGACCGGACCTGATAATATACCAATAGAATTCTTGAAGGCCTTAGACGATAGAAACTTAACTCAACTCACAATAATGCTCAATAAAATTTACGAAACAGGAGAAATCCCAAAAGACTGGCTTAAATCGGTCTTCATCCCTCTGCCTAAAAAGAACAACCCCAAGTCCTGTGATGAGTATCGGCTAATCAGTTTGATGAGTCATACTCTGAAGGTACTCTTGAGGATAATCCAACAGAGAATATATCGAAAATGCGAGGAACAACTGGATGAGACGCAGTTTGGCTTTAGAGAAGGTCTGGGAACTAGAGAGGCTTTATTTGCCATCACAGTAATGCTACAGAAATGTAGAGAATACAATAAAGATGTGTATGTCTGTTTCATTGATTTTCAAAAGGCCTTTGATAAAGTCCAACACGACAAACTTATAGAGAACTTAAAGAGCATCAAATTGGACCCAAGTGATATACAATTAATAAAAAATATCTACTACAATCAAACGGCAGTGGTTCGAGTTGGGGACATCGAGACTGATGAAGTCGAGATTCAAAAAGGAGTTCGCCAGGGCTGCGTTCTATCACCACAACTGTTCAATCTATACTCTCAGTTTGTATTTCAAAAAGCACTTTACGAGAGACCTGAGGGAGTAAACATTGGAGGGACATTGATTAACAACCTAAGATTCGCCGATGATACTGCCATAATGGCGGAGAGTGCAGAAGATCTTCAAACCCTGTTGGAAGGAGTCAGTCGAGAGTGTGAAGAAGTGGGACTTGCTATAAACACGCAGAAAACTAAAATGATGGTCATAAGCAAAAACCCAAATATTAACCCTATTCTGACAGTAAATGGGAACCGAATAGAGCAGGTCCAAAAATACAAATATCTCGGCTCTACCATAAATTCTGAAATGGACCCTGATCAGGAAATTAAGATCAGAATTGAAATGGCTCGAAATGCATTTATGAAATATTCCACATTGCTCACAAACAGAAATTTAAACCTTGTCATCAGGTTGAGATTCGTGGAGTGTTATGTGTGGTCGGTGTTAATGTACGGAGTAGAAACTTGGACGCTGAAGACTCAAATGATTAAAAAGCTCGAAGCATTTGAGATGTGGCTCTATAGGCGCATTCTGAAGATACCTTGGACTGATAGAATAAGCAACGACGAAGTGTTGAGACGCATAGGCCGAAAACGAAAACTTCTCACAATCATTAAGATAAGAAAAACATCTTACGTGGGACACATATTACGCAGTGACAAATATCTACTGTTACAAAATATATGCAGGGCAGAATTGAGGGAGGAAGGGTATCGGCAGAAAGAAAAAATCCTGGCTCCGAAACATTAGAGAGTGGACAAATCTTGGCGTTGGAGAATTGTTCCATGTTGCAAAAGACAGAGAAGAATTTAGAAAAGTGGTCGCCAACCTTCTATGAGAAGACGGCATGGAAAGAAGAAGAATCTAAATAAAATATCTGTTACAATCATTTGCTCTATAAAGTAAAATGAGTAGCTGTTCGGTATCTTAAATTAATGTAACATTTTGCCAAAATTTCCTTTAGTCAGATTTATAGGCTTTAGTGTCAATTTCGATATGATTGATCACGTGTATCGGAAAATGTTTTGCGATTACCTTATCAATTTTTGGATAAAAAGATTTAAGGTAAATGTTCCAGTGATCGTTACATGTTGGTCATATAATTAGATTAGTTTACACTTGATAACGGTCAGTGATCAGTGATTAATTCTGACCGAAACGTTGTGTTAATCAAAATAAATAAATACAATGGAGGTCCGAATTTCTTTTAGTTGAATGCTGTCTACCACATTCAAAGGAAGGCTTAATACATGAATCCATGGATATAGCATTACGTATACTCCTTCTTTAATATTTTTATTGAAATAGAATACCAGGCGATCTATCATTAAAAAAATAAATATACCTTCAAACTTCGCCTAATGTCATTAATTGACACATATCCTTTTCTGTCTTTGTCGATAATTTGGAATCTCTTAATGTACAGTTGAATCTCTTCTTTGTTTAGGTTAATCGGAATTTTATCCCTACTGGCTCTGTTGACGTTCTGTCCCATCTCGTTTTGCAAGAATTCAGTGGCTAGACTTGTCTGTTTCTTCTTTTCCTCTAAAAAAATAAATTAATTAATAAAATAGAAATTGACCTCGACAAAATTATCATCGGTTGTCATTTCCTAGCCGTCTTTGACGCCGTTTTTTTTTTGTATTACCTTCTGACCATCCTAACTCTTCTGCCATTATAGAAATAATCTCTGGCAAGGCTTCTTGTGCAGCTTGGACGTTCAAGAATGCTAACCTGACTCTCCTAGCTATCATATCGATAGCTGTCAAAGCATATTCTCTGCATCCGTATCTAAAAAAATAGACACAATTAAGATAAATTCATATAAAGACCGTTCAATCGTCATTCAACGTTACGTCATCATTATTTGTCAAATATGAATATTAGGGTATATCTGAGATTCATATTGTTTAGAAAATTTTAAATACTTTCCTATCTTAGATTTTATAAACTTCGTGGATAAGTAAATTCGCTTCATTTTTATTGAAGACACGTCACCGACATTCGACTCTCTGATTATCTTTGTCTTTGACACTGACTGACGAATCGTCTCTCTGTCTTTTTGGTATATGTCATTTTTATGTCATAAATTAGAAAATATAAATATATAAATTAGAGAAAATAATATTGTTATTCGTATATTAGTTATTTATTGGATAATATTTATTAGTATATTATTAACTATTTAAAGAAAAAAAATCAAAGGTAAATTGCCTAATAATGTTTAAAGTGATAAGTTACCTAACATAAATATATATTTCACTGAAGAAAAGTCGGTTTAAATAACGATTTTAAATCACACATATCTTGTTTTTTTTTAAATATGGAACATGATTTAGAGGTTTTCATACTTTTAGTGTTGTGGAGTTCTTTTAAGGAAAAGATTTTCCTATTGCGGACAGCTTCACATAATATTAGCTAACACTTTTATTAGTCATAATGTCTATTTATCCAATAATTTATTATATATACTAACTTTATCACACTACAAAAACAAACTTTCAAAAAGAACACAAATCTAAAATATCGTCGGAAATCCAAATCAACTCTTTATTGTCACGGGTCAAACAGTACACAAAAATCACAAAAAGTGGCATTAATTATTTTTTTTATTAAAATATGTTTTGACTTTTCAATGTCAAACCATATTTTACTGTTTCCCTGGTTACTGGTTCTATGGGTTGCCCATTCATCATAGCTATAGCTATTTTTCAAAGTAGTATTTTAAAAGATTTTTAAAAAAGAATTTATCGTATGATTTAATTTTTGTTTGAAATTTATATAAAAATTATATTGACATAATATGACAAATATTTTCAAAATAATAAATACACGTATCAGTTATATCTTGATTAAAAAAAATGAATGGTCTATATTTTTAGTAATTGTTGTCAACGCAGGGAAAAATCGCTCCAAGTTAGCATTCACGTCTAATATCGTTTTGCGCATGCTCAGTAGCGTATTTAGAGAGAAGGATAGGTTTATACGATAATCTTGTTCTAGAAAGAAATAAATAGAAAAATGCATGTGGAAGTCCCGTAAACAAAGTCGTATGTAATATACATATGGCATAGCTTTATCCGCGAAATTTATAAGATCTAAGGATTGAGAAAGCTCAACAAGATAGGTATGACGTGACGTTGAACGATGGTTGAACCATTCTATCTATATCAAAATATTGTGTCTAAAATGAAGTAACAAAATTACAAATTTTATATAATACTACTTGTAGCAAGTTAAAGTAGAAAAAGTAACCGTGGCAACATCGGGAAGTGCATACATCAAATATTTTGATGACGTACAAGCCAACTTTTATTGATTTTCCTATACAGGGTGAACCTTAAATAAATGCAAATATTTTCACAGCTGATAGATCTTAATAAAAGAAATATATTTTTTTCTCTTTTTTTCCAAAATTTATAAAAAAAAATGTTTTTGCTTAAATTTGAGAAACACCCGATCTTTTCCGGTTTTTTTTTCTTGTTAATTTAATCTACTACCCACGTTGCCATATCATAGATATATTTTTTGACTAAAAATCAACAAAAAAATTCCAAAAAATTAACCGAAATTTTTGGGTCGAAACTGTCTGGGGTCGAAACAAACTGGGGTCGAAATATACTACCCCTTAAAAATAATTGCACTTATTTCAGACTCACCCTGTATATAGTTAAACATTTCTCACCTCACTTCTGCATCGATGTACGGGAATTCTGGATGGATCTTTTTACCGATAATTGGCCACCTTTTACCGGTTAAACTGGCCATTTTGGCTACCGTGAAGGCCCTGTCTCCGTAAGATTTGGCCAGATGTTGGGCTACTTCGCATTCTAAACCGAAATCTTGTACCAGTCTAATGTACATGGTGGGTGTCCATTCGTGAGCTCCCTCCAAAAGGAGGCCATCGGTTCGGCATTCAGGCGAAGAGCATTTGGCTTCCAGACCACAAGCTGCAAAGTTAATTGTATACAAATACAGGATTATTCACCTCATTGGACACGGAGTACTGTAGCCAAATGATTGGATTTTTAGAAATTGTAAGTGGAGGATTACTAAAGCTACAATTTAAAATTATTTTCAAAAGGTACAGAGTGTCCCAAATAAAGAAAAAATATCAAAGTTGTAGTTTTTTAAATGGAACACCCTATATATTATTACATTTTTAGTTTCTACAATTGAAATAAAAGTAAATTTGATTAAGGTTTGCAGCACTTTAATTTTACCGTTTTTGAAATATTTACGATTTTGTGGAAATGCACTAACAATAATTTTAATGCTTCACTTCTCTAGGCGATTTTAAGTTTTTAGGCAAATATTGTACTGAAGTACATATTTCAGTTAACTAAATTTTGTGTGTTGCTGTAATAAAAATAATCCTACCTTATACAGAGTGTCTAAAAATTTATTTTAAATAATTACTAGGTTTAAACGACAATAACTTGTTTAATTTAAATGGAACAGCCTGTATATTTTACGAGAACAGATGCACAATTTAATCGTCTATCAAATTGTATTATAACATTTTTACCTATCTCTTCAAGTTTTCGTAGAAATGTTTTCTCTTATAATTTAGACCTCGTTTATCAATATACCCATGGAAAATTGACATTTTAGATTATTTTTAAAGACTGTTTAAATATCTGTAAAAGAGGATCAAATTAATATGATCCCAGTGTTCGAACTACATAAATTGACTGTTTGCGTTGATTAATAATTGCTCCAAATACTAAAAAACTGAATTTTGTATGTGTATTAGACTGTGTGGTAAAAAGTAACACCTTATATAACTTATTATTTAAACTTATATAAACTTATTATTATATCTTATATTTATTATTAACTTATTATTATATTGATTTCTGATTCAAATCCACATATATTTAAAATAATATATTTTAAATAAAATATATTATTTTAAATACAATTAAGTATGCAATTAATTAATATTGGAGCGGAAATAATGGTGGTATATTTAACTGATATACTCTTACAAAGAGTTAAATACTTTTTTTTGTAAACAAGTGGACTAGCAATATTGTCGTTTTTAGCACCTGTACATTTTGTAAATTGTTGCTTTAAAAAAATCTAAAATGTCAATATTCCATGGGTATATGATCTAATGAGGTCTAAATTATAAGACAATACATTTTCTAAGAAAACTTGAAGAGGTAGGTAAAAAATGGTATAATACAATTTGATGAACAATTAATTTGTGGTGTGTTCCATTTAAGTTAAACAAGTTATTGCCGTTCTTACTAGCTTTAGCTAGTAATTATTTAAAATATATGTTTAGACACTCTGTATAAGGTACTATTTTTATTTCTGCCACACAGAATTTGGTTTACAAAATTAAATACGCCTAGAAAAATGGAAAAATTAAATTTGTTACTGCATTTTCACAAAATCGTAAATATTTCAAAAACAGTAAGATTAAAGTGCGGCAAACCTTAATCAAATATACCTTTGTTTGAATAGTAGAAACTAAAAATGTAAAAATATATAGGGTGTCCCATTTAAAAAAAACAACTATGACATTTTTTTATTTATTTGGGACACTCTGTACCTTTTGAAAATAATTTTAAATTATTAGTTTTAGTAGTCCTCCAATAATCCCACCACTCACAATTTCTAAAAATCCATTGGCTACAATACTCCGTGTCGGTTGAGGTGAATAACCCTATATATCTGGGACAGGAAGATTATTTTTTGTATCAAATTAGAATGTTTTTCGTTTATTTATTAATGACTATTACCAGCAATTGCAGCATCGATAGTCTCTTGTGCCATAGCACGATACGTAGTCCATTTTCCACCGGCGATAGTCACAAGGTTCGAGTCGCTAACGTGAACAATGTGATTTCTGGCTAAACTTTGAGTGTTTGGTTTGTTTGGATCGGATACCAAAGGCCTAATACCGCTCCATGCTGATAGTACATCACCACGTCGTACTGAAATGCAGAAAAAAAATCAAAATTTTATACTCAACTTGCTCACAAAATAAACAAAAAATGTAAAACTATATGATGTAGGGTAGACGTGGGGTAGACTCAATAATTTGTTATTTTATTTTACGTTGTGAATAAATGTTGGTAGTTATTAAAATTGTTATAAAAATATATAATTCTAATAAAAATAGATAACTTATAATAAGTATTTATTAACACAAACATCCGATACGCTACTGAAGCAGGTAAGTCAAATTAACGTATCAAAATTCTTTGACATCTGATCTTTGACAAGTAGTAAATAAAAGCTAAAATGCAAGAAAATATATAATTTAGTTAATTTAAGTGAATTTCATAAATGATCGGTTTACTACATGTATGTATATTATATAGTCACTTACTAGCGAAAAGTTGTTCCATTATTTCACTCAATTTTTTCCGAGATCTACCGCACGCTACACAACCAACTATTTTAGAGTTTTTTTCGATAAATCGCGATAATGTCACTGTTAATTTAAGTTCTGCCACAATTGCCATCTAGATTTACTACCTTTATACAACTATCAGTAGTAGAATAAATAATAAGTAACATAAAATAAGCTCCGTAAAGACTGACAAATCCACAAAATTTCAAATCAAATTCAAATGTGTCAAATGAATCGTCAAACAGAACTGTCAAGGATCCCCACCCTAGAGAGCTTTTTCAGGAATACATGGATAGCATTATGCTCCTTCCTTAGTCTTCTTATTCAAAGATTCAGCTGAAGTTCAAAATAACCATATATACAGGGTGTTTCAAAAAACATGTGTCATCTCTCGTGAGGAGATTCCTCACGTAAAAATAAGATTAATTTTTCATACATAGGTCCGATTCCGCTTTGTGTCGTAGCTACAGGGTGTTAAAATCTTAATATCTTTTCAATTTATTATAATTTTCTTCCAAGTGCTTTTAGCGTTTCGAATGAGACTTTAAAAGTAAAAGTTACTCTAAATGCGACTTATTTTAAAGATAAAAAAGTGTCGACATAGTCAACATGGACCTGCATATAGGTTATCACTGGAATATTTCTCTAAAAAAAGAGCATGTACGCCACTGACTTTTTTTTCTCTTGTTAGCGAAATATTGTAAGCAGTTTAATGCCGATTAAAAGTTGTCTCTTAATATTTTTGGCAAAATTTCATTTAGTCAGGTTTATAGACTTTAGTGTTAATGTCGAAATGATTGATGACGTGCATTGGAAAATATTTTGCGATTACAATAGTAGTTCTATGTCCGCGGAATATTGGAACATCCTGTATAGTATATTTTATTTAAAATTAATACCTTCAACGTCTGGATTGAGGTAGTTCTTCACTTCCTCCAAAATAAACATAATTTCGTCTTCTGTAGGCTTGGGATTGTGCGTAACTTGACAGGGCAAGTCTGTGGTTCCGGCAATGGTGTGCTTTTGCCATGGCAAGAAGAAGATCACTCTACCGTCGCTGGTAGATGGATCCAGCAGACCCATTTGTTCTGGACTGTAGTATCCTGAAAATTTAATTTTATTAGTATTAAGTACATTAGAAAAAGAGGAAACTGCAGTGGTACCTGGCAAAGTTATGTGAACTCCGCTGCTAGGAGAGCAGATTTCTTTAACGTTAGGATTGTCCATTTTTCTGATAGAGTCTGTAAAGGGGCCTGTAGCGTTAATGACGCATTTTGTAGGAACACTCCATGTTTTCCCTGAAATAATATTGTATTTGATAAAGAAGACACATTAGTGCTATGCTATTCATAGGCCCATCTGCTGGCAATACAGGGTGGGCCACTGAAAAATTACAATGGCTATAATTCTTAAACCAAAAAAGATATCAAAAAAATAAAAAATACCGTTTCTATAATATCAAGGGGGAATATATATGACGTATTTTTTGAACCACCCCGACCTACCCCTTAGGCGGCACCCCTACTCACTTAAAAATCTTAAATGGTAACACCTCATTTGTGGCGCCTTTTTGGAAAGCCCATTAAAAATGCCAAACGATGATCATAAAGTTTTTAGGGTGAAATTGAAAAACTACCCCTTACACGAAAAATTAGGTGGACATTAATGAAAAAAGTGAATTTGGGACCCAGCTAAATTAGTCAAGTGAGGTATTTTTCAAACCACCCCGACCCACCCCTAGGTACCATCCCCTCACTTATAATCTTATCAATGCAATTTTGAAACCATAGCAAATTTTGAAAACAAACAAAGAATCTTAAAACGTTTTCTTAAAAAATCTTTGCGTTCTTGTACTGTCTTCTATCGATTTTCAATCGTTTGCAAATTTGGTGTTATTTTAAACTTTTATTTGATTCGCTTATTTGAAAGAAAAATGGTTTATACTGTGGAAGAAAGAATTCAAATAGTTTTTCTTTATGGTGCTAAAGGTATGTACTATTTGGAAACGGTTATGTTACGTTTATGTTAGAGATTTGATTCTAAAGTTTCAAGAAAGAGCTACTAAATGAAGAAATGCAGATGGAAGTTATTGGTCAGGTATCGGTAAATCCAGAAGCATCAACACGCCAGTTGGCATCAATCACAGGTATACCTCGAACATCTGTCAGAAGAGTATTGAAAATGCACTCCTATTTGTTGAAAGTAAAAAAATAGATGATAAGGAAGAATTTGCGTTATCGCAAAATTATGCTGAACGATTAGCAAAACATCTTTGTATTGCCTTTTTTATTATCTACATTTTTTATTTTTAGCTTCAAAATGGCAATGGTTTCAAAATGGCATTGATGAGTTTAGAAGTGAAAGGTGACACCTAGGGGTGGGTCGGGGTGGTTTGAATTATACCTCATTTGCCTCATTTAGCTGGGTCCCAATTTGTAACTTATACTGAAACATCACTTTTTTCATTAATGTCCACCTAATTTTTCGTGTAATGGGTAGTTTTTCATATTCACCCTAAAAATTTTATGATCATCGTTTAGCATTTTTCATGGGCTTTCCAAAAAGGAGCCACAAGTGGGGTGTTGCTATTTAAGATTTTCAAGTGAGTAGGGGTGCCGCCTAAGGGATAGGTCAGGGTGGTTCAAAAAATACGTCATATGTATTCCCCCTCGATATTATAGAAACGGTATTTTTTATTTTTTTGATATTTTTTTTGGTTTAAAAATTATAACCATAGTAAGTTTTCAGTGACCCACCCTGTATAAATATCCATATTTCTATCTAATACATGTATAGATGAAGAGTGCACCAGCGCAACAACAAAAAAAGGTGTATAAGCAGTATGTATTGTGATATGCAGATATTGAAAAATTTGCTGTCATAAAAAATATTTTTAGTAATAGTAAATATTTTTAGACGCCATCAGTATTATAGTATGCTATTACAAGTGGGCTCAACAAATAGTAATTGGCATTTTTAAATCCTATAGTTAATGTGTTCTCCCTACTATCGTTATTTGTAGTTAAGATACCAAAAATTTATTAGTCAATAATAAAACTTGCTTAAGAGCTTTAGATACGTATTTTTTAAATAACTATTTCGGCTATCCATTATATCCAATTATCTGTATATTCTGATATAATAATAGATACTTTTAATGAATACACTTTATCTGTGAAAGGTATAAAAATATATTATTGATATGAAATTTAGTATTGTACAAATTACACATTTTAATCTATATCTCAGAAAAACAATATTTTAGAGTCTAAATGATAACAAAAACTGATATAATGTCATAAATCTAATCAGATTTTTGCTATCTCAAAATTATATTCTCATAAAAACTTGATTTTAAGTAGTGATAAAAGTCCAGATAAACGTTTTAAAAAAAACATTTAAAAAAAGTCATTCACACAAGTCGACAAATAAGTAATTTCTAAAGCTTCATTCATAACCTCAAAATTAGTGGCATAAATTAGTGGTTTCAATTAGTTCCTTTAATTTCAATGTGAGCATTCAGAACGCCCAAAATTAGTGGTGGTGATTTTGAATTAGTAGGAGAAGTTAGAGACCTCAGTGCGGATCTCAGAACTCGAATGGCCAGATGCTACGTCTTCTCTGTGTTACTCTATGGATGTGAGAGCTGGACACTGGATTCACAGACCGAGAAGAGAATAGAAGCCTTCGAAATGTATATATACAGACGGATGCTGCGAATCTCATGGGTACAAAGGATCACCAACAATGAAGTACTCCAGCGCATGCAGAAACAAAAAGAGATACTGAACACCATCAAGGAAAGAAAAATGCAATACCTGGGTCATGTGATGAGAGGTGGTAGATACGAAATACTGCGCCTCATAATAGAGGGCAAAGTGCAAGGGAAAAGATCAGTAGGAAGACGCCAGAACTCATGGCTAAAAGATTTGAGGAGATGGTTTGAACGCTCGTCTGCGGAAATCTTCGGGGCTGCAGTTTCCAGAGCCACAATTGCCATTTGGATCGCCAACCTTCGGCAGAAGAGGGCGTGATAAGAAGAAGAAGAAGGAGGAAAAGTTAACTAACTTTTAACATAATACCACTAATCATAGATAAATGAAACAAGTTTAGATTGGAATGTGCCCATAAGGACAATGGCTTTGTTCTCAGAAGAATCCCTGACTAGTCAGCGCGTTTCTTATTGGTTGAAATGTGTAGAAACCAGACTAACAATCAGGTTTCTACGCATTTTAACCAATGAGAAAACGATGCTGATAATCGAAGATTCTTCTGAGCTGAATCTAATGTAAACACTATTTGGCGCTATTCTTACAACGGTCGCGACCCAAAACTTTTGAAAATTTCGGAGCGGTTCGGCTTTTTCCGGAATTATATCGCCAAATATTGTTTAATCAAATTTATTATTATTTTCGTTTAATTTTATAAATAAAATACAGTGTGTTGCATACAAGAAACTTTATTTTATATAAGGACGCATGTATGAAATACCTATGAAACATTGGAAACCGACGTTATGCCACGATCCACGATGGTTTTTGCAGTTTACAGTTCTCAGCACAGCTTTTTAAGTTTTTAATGCCACTTTTTCACAATTATTACCGGTTGGAGTAAATAAAACTTGAATTAAACTCACAAGATAGCAATAATTACTTTGAAAATGGACGCTATAAACACTTTTCGGAATTTCTTTAGTGAGAGCGGTTTAGATTTTGAAAGATTATTATGATTTTTGAAGATTCTGACTTTGACAAGAGAAAATTATTTCTGTTTTTGTTTACCGTTGTTCTTAGCGACCGCTATAGCAGCGCCAGATCGCGTATAACGGTCGCGACCCAAAATAATTTCGCGACCTAAAATTTTTACGGGCTTTCCAATCTAAACTTGTTGCATTTATCTATGCCACTAATTATACTTCAAAATTTGCAAGGAATGTCATTTTCGCCGTTGATTATATCATCCGTCAAGACAAATTGTGGTTAAAAATCAAAAGTTGATTGTTTTATAAGCTAAATATCATAAAATAATTAACTAGAAATAGTAGGCTTTCTCTATGGATACAACTGACTACCGCAAGCTGTTTCTAGGAAATTCTATTATTTTTTTTCCATAGCAACTGTTAAAATTGCCTTATATGCCTTATATCCATGGTACAAAGAATACAAGGTATGATCGATAGCGGCTCCAATTTCGTTCAGTTCGCGCATACCACCTGTGACGTCACTAGGAAAATAATGAATAAATAAAAAATAAAGAAAGTTGACAGGAGATCTGCATTTTTTGGGGTTATGGTTAAGAATTGTTTATTTTTAAGACTTTTTAGTTCGTTTAATTTAATAATTACTAAAACCAGCAGTTTCAAAAATATATTTAAAAATAATAATTATCTATTAACATGGATTTGGACTATAATAGGTAAGAATACTAAATTTATTTCTATATTCGGTATAAAATTGTTTATTAGGTTTTTAGTTTGGGATGTTTATGGTAAATCATTTTTATGTTCATTGCCTCTGAATTCACATGAGGACAGAGATGAAGATATCTATGGAAAAGTAACCACAAGAGGAACTGTTACATCATTTAAAAAATGTTGGGAATTTTATTGTTTCCCATCGAAAAGTAGAAAATGCCAATGCAGATGAATGTATTGTAATTGTGATAGAAGTAATTCCAAGGGTGAAGTTTATTATAATTAGTGACCTGTGCTTCTTTTTATATGTAGATGTTTCAGGTTTTGAGAATAAATCAGTTGAACGAAACCCAAAATTTAGAGATTTGCATACCCAGAATACGCCCATCAAGGATTATATAGCTCAAATTTCCTTTGATCGTAGGCAATTATTCAATGCAAATTAACTTTTTAAGTGACTGAAATATTAAATAGTTTACAATATGGTATATCACTGTAAAAATATATTACTTTTAGGTACAATTAGGGCCAGATACATTTCAAAAAGTAGAATATTATTTTATATTAAATGAGGGTATTGTACCAACAATCAATTTATATTAATACCGCAGATTAAAAATAACAGAATAAATAGTTCTTTCTTTTATACTACAAAATAAACTATAGAGATACAACAGTATTAAAAAAGTTATGTCTCGCCGAGATTCGAACTCCATGTCTCTCGCTTCCTACAAGCCCAACTCCTTACGCACTGCTCCACAGTAACTTGCTTAACGATAATTCAATGACGGTATATAAACAAAAAAACAGGTTTATAACAATACCTTGACGATTTGAATTGGCGCGCGGAGCGTGCTGACCAATAGCGCCTGTTATCACCTGTGACGTAGCGACCAACCTGCGCAATATCATACCTTGTATTCTTTGTACCATGCCTTATATCCATCTATAAAAAATAGTAGATAAAAAAGTTCTTTAACCACAAGGGTAGATTAAATGATGCTTTAACAGCGAGGATAGGTTAAAAACTTTATTTCTTCTCGCACGTTTTTTCATTGCTTCCATTTTTGAAAATTTTTGTATTTCTTTTCATAAGTTATTCGGGATTTAAATGGATAAAAAAAAATAGTTTGGATATGGCGTTTGTCGCCTGAGCCTGAATATCTGTTGGTAATTTACTTATTTCGTTTTAAGCAATTTCTGGCTCTAATTTAATCAGCAATCGACACGAAAGAGAATTAAAAAATATTGACTCAAAACTGACAACTAAAGAGACAGCTTTATTTATTTGTCAAATTACATAGAAACCAACGCCAACCCAGCACAATATTTTTTCTACTCATAATAAATTCCTTGAAATAATTATATCTAAATATTTTTTAAAACGTAACCCGCTCTGGAAAAAAATATTGTTTTATACACGACGGTAAAATTGCATTATCGTCTCCCGAAATTAATTATTAATCTTTTCGGTCGACGATTTTATCGTCTGGTATAAAAAATAACTATTAATTGTGTTTTTTTAGACATTTTTTTTAGACAACTGATACCACTAATTTATTCCACTAATTGCGAGGTTCTGAATGAAGCTTAAAGCATGATACATTTTTAAGTATGTATAATTAGTGGCATAGGTAAGCTAAAAGTTTGTTAACTTTTTCTACTAAATGAAAATTAAAACCACTAACTTTGACGTTCTGAATGCTTACATTGAAATTACAGGAACATACTTCTATGCTAATTGAAACCACTAATTTCTTCCACAAATTTCGAGGTTCCGAATGAAGCTTTATATCATATAAAAGTAGAAAAATACAAGACCGCAAGACTCTTGCATGCTTGGTCTTGGTCTTGCATAAAAAGCAAGATCAAGACCAAGACCAGTCTTGCTCATTGCTAAAAGACATTCTTACCGGTCATTTCGTCTTTACAGTGGACACCCGTGATGACTTCTTTGCCATCTTTGTTTTCTTTTATCAAGCCAGATACAGAAACGTGGTTCACTACTGTAGCTCCATGCCTTGCTGCAGTTATAGCAACTGCCAAGTTCATCCTAGCGTCATCCTGTTGGCCTTAAAAAACCATAAAAAATATAAAAAAAAACGCTAATATAAAAGATAAATATTTATATATTTACCATCGTAATACACTATTCCACCACACAGGGCGTTGCCTTTCAACATGGGAAACAGTTCTAGAGCGTTCTTTTTCGATAGGAAGTAGGAATTCTTTAAAGTTTTAGAACCAGCCACCACATCGTACATTTTAATACCAAACCAATAGTACGGTACTTGCCACCACCTGAAAAAGAAAATTGATAATAAGAAAAAGGTACGTTTGAAATAGAGATGTAGATGGTATGGGAAGGGGGGAAGTTAATCACCGCGACCTTATAGCTCTATAGTGGCCCCCTTTCTTGAGTTATAACAGTCTGAGGGCTTTGACAAAAGCCAGTATCAAAGACGGTTCTAGAGAGGTTGGTTCAATCTACTGAGGTGTTCATTGAGGAGACAGTGTCCTGTTAAAAACCCCGTGGCAATTTTAGATTTTTCTAGGTCAGTAACTTCTAAGAAAGGTCTCGAGTGTGTGAAATAGTGATAGGCTTTAGAAGAAATGTTCAAGTTTCCATTAGTTATTCCAGAGATATTGGTTGTAAAAGTAACGAAAAACGGAAATAAATATGTTTTTTGTAGATTATCTCAAATTAGTCAAGATCGGTTAGAGATATCATAGAACGGTGTGTGTCAGTAGATTCTACCCTTGTATATAGATTTTTAAAGTAGCTCAACCTAAGACGTTTATGGATGTAAAGCACCAGATGGCGATACGCCCCGCCACGGTCTTTTACTACAGAAAAAATTTTTTTGTTACTCTGAATTTTGAAGCGACCAATAAAAACAGAGAAAATAAAAATCGATAATTTTCGGACTGTGCCAATTGGTTACTAATCGACCAGATACTTTTTGTCTATTAGATATGCTATAAAAGCTGGTAATTATACAATTCGACCATTGTAAATACCCGACAGATTCCGCAAGGTCGACGAGGCCGATCCTTTTCACTGATAAGAAAACAAAATGTTTCTTTAGATAATTTTCGAGATATTTTTTCTTTCTGAATGCACATTTTTAAAGTATTTTATATTCTTTGTCCGCTTGATCTATTATACTGGTCGCACGTATCGAAGTTCTGTTTCTTCAAGTTTTAAAAAATGTTCTTATTTCTTTGTAGTGGTTGTAGTGTAAAATTAGATTAATTTTATTAAATTTAATTATAATGTTTAGTGTAGAATACCACAAATAGTTTAGTAGTGTTTTTAGAGTTTATTATTTTGTAGTTAAGTAGTAGGTGAAGGGATAATTTGGTTATTTTTTCTCTTTGTTTGATTAATTAGTAAGTTTGATAATTTTTTCAGTGAAGAATACAAGAAGTAGTTGTGTAGTGTTTTTATAAGAGATTATATTAGTTTATTTTGTAGATGGAGTAGTAGGTGAAGGTATTTGGGTATTTTTTCTTTTTGTTTTTCTTCTAATTGTGGTGTAATTCTATTAAGTATTGTGATAGATACACTATATCTTCCTTCAACTTCGTTGAAAAGTGCACTATCATCTAATTTTGGTTTTCTGGTAGTAGAATATACAAAAAAAAATCTGATCAAATTTATTTTAAATTAAATTAATCGAGTCTTATTAATCAAATTAATCTAGTCAAATAATAATAATAGTTAGTTTCTAAATACTACACAGGGTGAGTTTCCTACGATGTTCTCTATGGGTGTCTCGGAAACTACTGGAGACTGAAGATAGAGAGTCGGTTAAATGGGGAAAGAATTGCAGTTTTGTGGGGTCATAAATATGCGCCTTTCGGATTTTTCGGAGAAGTTCAAGGCTTACTAGATATTTCGAAAAAAACAAATTTTGGCTATTTTAAAAATTTTGTCTCTAATTCCATTATAATCTACCGTATGATCGAATAAAAACGGCCTCAACGATGTCTATGAAATGAAGATCGCTGTCATTTTATATGTAAAATTATATGGGACATATCATCGATCGTCATTGCATAGCCATCGCTGACGCCGTTTTTATTCGATCATACGGTATTTTAGACAAAAAGTTTTCACATAAAAGTTGTAGACAATCACATACCTAATGAATTTGTGTTTTCTGTTTTTTTTCTAAAGCCTGTAATTTTTTTGACATATATGACACAAACGTTATGTTTTTTTTTTAAATGGAAACCATAGTTGGCCATGACTTCATAAAAAGCGCCATTTTTTAAGCTTTTCAGCGATATAGGTAGGTATAATATGTTTTTTTTTCGAAAAATTACAAGTTTTAGCCAATTCTTTTCTTTCTTGGCTAATTTCCATACCAATAATACCATGCCAATTAGTTGGCATCAAGAATGTAAAAAGTTTTGTTTTCAAAAAAATTATCGTAAAATTCGTAAAGCACTCAATTTAAAATAAAATAATCTAAGAATGAAATGATTCTTTTATAAGCCTGCATTAAATCAAATTAAAATAGGTATGTAACTTTTTTTAAATATTAATTAATAGCAATTATCATTATCATAAATTATTATAAATAATGTACCAACATATCGAAATAATAATTTCTTTGTTAATACGGTTTAGAATTCTTAAAATAACAGGCAAAAATAATCCACAATTTACAATAAAATAAAAGTTTTGTTTAAATTTCTTAATCAGCTGATCACTATTAAAGTTCGCAGAAACCCGGGGCTATATTATTACACTAGTGTGTACCCGCGACTTCGTTCGCGTCGGATTAATCATTTGTAATGGTGATGATCAAGCAAAGCAAGAATTTCCATTAACATACAAACTAAGATAAAATTTTCTTACATTTATGTCAGCATGAGAAAAAACAATATGGCGATATTATTATATAACTTGGTATAATATTTGAGGGGTAGTTTCATCTCGTTGGAATTTGACTTTCGAAAATCTGTTTGCCAAAAATAAGCTTTTTACGTCAAGCAGTTTAAAGCAGAATCGTGATTAATCAATTACCCAACTTTTGGAACACCCTGTATGATTTTTAAAAATTTCAAAATATGTAAAAACAAAATCAATTATGCGTGTCCAAGTGTTTTCCCGAAAGGCTCGCCGTATTTAAATAACATATATTGTAATATTTGTGGGTCGTTTTCATCCGCTTGGAATTTGAAATTCGAAAAACCCCTCCTTATCGAACCTCTACACCCCACAGTAAATCCGTTTGCCAAAAATCAGCTTTAAAAGTCAAACAGTTTAAGTAGAATCGTGATTACTCAATGGTTATATTTTATGAAACACCCTGTATAAATTTTTAAAAAATCTTAAAATATGTAAAACAACGAAATAAAATATACATGTTTAAGAATTTTTCCGAAAAACTCACCGGTTTTTAAATAAAAAATATTCTAATATTTGAGGGGTGGTTTCACACCCTCAGAATTCGAGTTTCGAAAAATCCCTTCTTATCGAACCTCTACACCCTAAAGTCAATCCGTTTTCCAAAAATCAGCTTTTTACGTCAAGCGCTTTAAGCAGAATCGTGATTAATCAATGACCAATTAATCAATTTTTCGAAACACCCTGTATACATTTTTAAAAAATCTTAAAATATGCAAAAAAAGAAAATAAATTATACGTGCTTAAGCGTTTTTTCGGAAACTTGACCGTTTTTAAATAAAAATATTCTAATATTTGAGGGGCGGTTTCACCCCTTAGAATTCGAGTTTCGAAAAATCCCTTCTTATCGAACCTCTACACCCTAAAGTCAATCCGTTTTCCAAAAATCAGCTTTTTACGTCAAGCGCTTTAAGCAGGATCGTGATTAATCAATGACCAGATTTTTCAGAAACACCCTGTATACATTTTTAAAAAATCTTAAAATATGTAAAAAGAAAATAAAATATACGTGTTTAAAGCGTTTTTTCGGAAACTTGACCGTTTTTAAATAAAAAATATTCTAATATTTGAGGGGCGGTTTCACCCCCTTAGAATTCGAGTTTCGAAAAATCCCTTCTTATCGAACCTCTACACCCTAAAGTCAATCCGTTTTCCAAAAATCAGCTTTTTACGTCAAGCGCTTTAAGCAGGATCGTGATTAATCAATGACCAGATTTTTCGAAACACCCTGTATACATTTTTAAAAAAATCTGAAAATATGTAAAAAAAGAAAATAAAATATACGTGTTTCAGCGTTTTTTCGGAAACTTGACCGTTTTTTAAATAAAAAATATTGTAATATTCCACCCCCCTTTTTACCCCTTTAGGGGATGAATTTTTAAAAATCCTTTCTTATCTTACGTAAACATCATAAAAGGAACCCCTGTGCAAAATTTCAGCTTTCTAGGGTCAAGGGTTTGGTCTGGGGTTTGGTCTGGGCGTTGAGTATCAGTCAGGACAAGGTCAGGACAGTCAGATTTATATATACTATATAGATTACTCTGAGGAAAATAACGAAAATAATCGATATTTTTGACTCCGCCCCGAAAGGTTCACGATTTGTCCTCCAGTTCGGCAGCACATTTTGTCTAGTCGGTTGAACAACTTTAAGAATATATAAACAACGATTCTACGTAAAGTTAACTATTGGCTAGATTATTTTATTTTAGTTGCAATCTGAGAGACATTTTGATTTTTGACAAAATTTGCTTTGAATATTTTCAAGGAATTTTGGAAAATCAGTTTTACCTATTTTTTAACATGTTCCTAAGTCCTTAAGTCCTAAATGCGTACTTCTTAAATTTTGAAAAGGTGAGATATTATCTCCCCAAGTTATTTTATGCAAAACTTGCATTAGACTTTTTTAAAGACGCGTTAAAGTTGTACTTTCGTCATAATTTATGTGATTTGGAAGGGATGGTTTTTTTTTCTGAATTGAACTATGAGTATCACTTGATTAGGGGAAACCGGGGGGAATCCCGCGCACGCCGCTGTAGAAAAAACTACAACTAGTAATATACAGGTGTGAGGCTGGAAGTGTTGCATAAGCCATATGAAGTATCCTCCTAAAGTTTGGAATAATTGCCGGCAGTCGTTAATCAATAACGAACATTTTAGTGCTAGATGGGTTTTTTATCTATCTTTTTGGCAATTTAATCGGTTGATAATTAGTAGTTCCTCTGATTAACAAAAGCAGCTTGATTTTATTTCCACTTACCAGTGCACCTATAAGTGTTATCGCAAGCGATCACCAATAAAATGTAAGTACTTTTGCTAAAATAAATTTTTAGATAAAAAAACGGCTCCCGGGGAAATACCGCTCAAAAACAATAACAAACAA